TGGAGCCACAGTGCCACTTCCGGCTTTTTTCTTTTTGCTTATGTGGTGCTGAGGAATCGAACCCAGGGCCTCAGGCATGCAAGGCAAGCACTCTATCACTGAGCCACCTTCCCAGCCCTACTTCAGGCTTTTTCTGTTTATGTAGTACTGAGGAATTGAACCCAGGGCCTCATGCATGTAAGGCAAGCACTCTACCACTGAGCCACCTTCCCAGCCCTGCCACGGCCCTTTCTAAACTGCATTTTCCCGTGTATCTGAACTCCCATCATCCTTGTTGCAGCATTTCTGGGTCATAGTTTCACTTGCAGCATTTTTTCTGTGTCATAAGATGAAGGAATGGTACACTGAGCAATCGATAGCATCTCAGCAGTCACTCGGAAGCTTTTGTTCTGTCTGAGGTTGATGAGTGATGGTGGGATCTGGGTGTTGGTCTCTCCAAATGAGCCCTCTTCCAGTGTGGGGCTTGGCCATGTGCACGGGGTGGGGGGTAGTACCCCGACAGTCTGCCCATTGGCACCAGGAACAGACTGTGGGGGGGAGGCGGAGTCAGTGCGGGCTCCCCTGGGCACCTGCAGAGAAATCATGACCTACTTGGGAGCGTAGATGAATGCCATCTTTGGTTTCTTCTCTGCTCCTGCCTCATCCTGAGGGTGCGGCCACCAGCCTGCACTGAAACTGTCTGCGCCCTAGTGTATTCTTGTGCTAGCTGGCACCACGTGGTCACCATCTGGTCTCTGAGTCTCTCTGTCTTTGAGAAAACCAGAGTGATGGAGAGTGTGTCCTGGGGACAGAGAGGCCCCCAGGCCACCGGGCTGTGATGTGCCCAGCGGGAGGGACTCGGGGACAGCCCTGCTTCTGCCAGAGACAGGGAACCTGGGCCCAAACAAGGTGTGTCTTGGGTGGACACTCCTGTGCCGCAGTGCCCACCCTGAGCCATCTGTGAGCCCTTGGTGACATGCCCAGTGCCAGGACTTGAGGCACCAGTCTTGACTAGCTGCTGGAAATTATTAAAATACCTTGGAAAACTTTATGGACCATGGAAAAGAAGCTATAAGGATGAAAAGAATAAGAACCAATTGAGACACTGAGAGGCAGATGACAGGAGGAATTCTTAGCCTCCTGGGGGCCAAACTCAGGTTTAAGTACGGTTGGCACACCGAGAAGCAAACGCTGCACTCGCTCTCCCCGGCCCTGCTGGCCGGCGGCCCCTCCCTGGCCAGGGCGCCCTGGCTTTGCGCAGAGGCGCAGACCAAGCCGGGTACCGTCTTTCACATCCCTCTTGAGCAGCTAAAAATACAAGTTCTTTTCTTAGACAAGTATTCATTTTGTAGATTACATACCTTGGCAGGCAACCTTTTAAAACCTAATTTTTCAACTTTCCTTCCTCTGTAATGATTGGGAATTCTGATTCCAGCTAAGTTAGTAATTATGTGCTTTAGCATTTATAATTTTTAATGACTACCACTGTAGGTGTATTCACAGTTCCGGGACAATTAAAAACTGACATTTTTATTGAATAGGAGAGTCTCTAAAAATCTTATTTCCTGGCCAGGAGTATTTTGGGGGTCTAAGACATTCCTTCATGGAAGTTCCAGCACTCATACAAAGACTAGACGCCGGGCCCCTCTGAGGACTTGGAGCCACAACCTCTGGAGGAAGGTTTGGGCCCAGCCGGGCTCGGCCTGATCCGAGGCGAAGCTGGTCACCTGCGAGGCCAGGGCCCGTGGCCAGCAGCAGGGTGGGGTGAGCCTCTCCCACGAGGGCTGAGGGCTGCTTTGAGCAGTGTGTGGCGCCTGCTCTCAAGAGATAGGCCAAGTGTGCCATCCAGTCACAGCCCAGGGCGCGTGGGGTCTGAGCCTCTGGTGGACCCAGGGCGTGTCCCGTTGCCATGGGCTGTGAGGCCCTGCACCCTGAGGGGTGAGTTGGCCTCCCTTTGTTCTTGCTTCATTAATGTGGTTTTTCCTTCTCCTTCCCACTTCCTTCTCTTTTCTTTTTGGACCCAGGGAAGATTTAGGGTTCAGATTTATCTCTGAGCAGGTCAGCCACCACCCTCCCATTAGTGCCTTTTATTCAGAAGGCCTCAACCAGGACTTCATGTTCCATGGCTCCATCTACCCGAAGCTGAAGTTCTGGGGCAAGAGTGTGGAGGCAGAGCCCCGGGGGACCATCACCCTGGAGCTGCTCAGGTGAGCGTGCAGGGGACGAGCCCTGCACGGGGAGCCAGCGCGGAAGCCAGCCGGGGTGCAGCTCTGGGAGACCTTCGGCCCTCTGCGCTTCTCCCCCGGGGCCAGTGGGCCCACAGCCCTCCCTCACACCTGCTGCCTTGGTCACTGCCGTCTGTTCTCCCCGCCCCTAACCCCTGCCACCAGCCATGCAGGGCAGCTGGCACAGCCCACGCCACCTCCCTGATCTGAGGGCAGCAGTGCCTTCAGCCTCTGCCTGTCAGGGCAGTCCAGACCTACCCACGCTGCGTGGAGCACAGCCGTAGACGCCCCTCGGGGGACCCCTGGGGAGGGAGTTAGGACCCAGGAGCCAGAGGAGGGACCCTGGTGGCCATGTAGCTGTGTGATGATGGCCACACAGACCTGACTGTGAGGGTGTGCACATGTGTGTGTGTGTGTGTGTGTGTGTGTGTCACACAAGGCTGGAATCCTGGTGGGGGACCAGTGGACCGAGGGCCCTGCAGAAGCTTTCTGCCTCTGTGTGGACACTGTCGTCCAGCACCCATCTAAGATGTCTGCAGCAAGGGCTGCATTCCCCGCCCACAGCCCTGTGCGCCCGTAGGTCCTCTGCAGTGGGTCTGGCCCTGAGGAGGTGTCCGATACAGTTTGAGCTGGTGGGACTCAGGGTCTCTTACATGTTTGGGTAAGTGCTCTACCACTGAGCCAACATCCCTAGAGATGACTTTTTTTTTTTTTTTTAAATTTCATTTGAGACAGTTTCCCTGAATTGCTCAGACTGGCCTTGGGCCTCCCACACACCTGTGATGGCAGCACACCTGCCTGGGCCTCCCACACCTGCCTGGGCCTCCCACACCTGCCATGGCAGGGTGGGCCACGCCACATCCGGTTCCCACTGGCTGGCTGGTTTCTTCCCAGTGTTGTGAGGATCTGGAAGGCCACTTCCCCTGTCCCCAGACACCGAGGCCACCGAACCTGTGAGGGAAGACCTGTCTCACAGGGATTTGGGGGCTGAGGTGTGCAGAACTGGAAAGCTCATTTATATGTTTGGGTCCTGCCTAGGGCGTTCTAGAAATTCCTAATGTGGGCCATGTGGTTTCCTAGCTCTGGCGAGTCTCTACTCTTGGTGGAGACTCTTCCCTGTCGCCTCTGAGGCTCCGGCTGCTATCTGAGGCATCTTGGGCTCTGAGGGCTTGCCTTTGGCGGGGCTCATTTTGGAGGATGAGGCATGAAAGAAGGTGTGGAATGTGGCCTCTCCTTGGGTCTCCGTGTGTGTGTGTGTGTGTGTGTGTGTGTGTGTGTGTGTGTGGTATGTGTACACACACACACACACACAGAGGCATGACAGCCTTAGTCTCCATCGCTGCGTGCTTGAGTGCCTTTTCTTTTGACAGCTTCATGGGAAAGCCATTTCTCTTTGACTCTGTCTTCCTTTATTGCTTATTAACTTGTCCTGACATTTAAGTAGAAAGCTTTGTTGATACTACAAAGGAAAGAAGAAATACATTTCAAACGCATGCTAACTAAATAGCTCGCACTGGAGGGACTTCAAAGTGGTGTCTGCTCTCAGCTGGTTCCGAGTTGCTGTCCGGTTTTATCTGTTGTGGTGTTCTGGGTCATGCAGGGTCACGCAGAGGCTACGCTTCCTTGCTCTGACTGCTTGTTTCTGGTGCCTTCTCAGACATAACGAAGCCTACACCTGGACCAACCCCACCTGCTGTGTACACAACGTCATCCTTGGGCAGCTGTGGATCGAGCAGTATGGCACAGTGGAGATCCTGAACCACAGGTGATGCTGGCCACGCCGTGTGGCTCCTGGGTTTGGGGCAGGCCTGACTCACTCCAGCCTTCTGACCCATGTGCTGGCTCACTGGGCTGGGCTCCATTGTGGAGGTCATCAGGAATGCGCAGGATGACTGGCTTTTAGTGAGGAAGGAAATTTATATATAAACATTCAAGCCTCAGGCGGGCACCAGTGGCTCACGCCCATAATCCTAGCTACTCAGCAGGCTGAGCTCTGAGGATCCTGGTTCCAAGCCTGCCTAGGCAGGAAAGTCCGTGAGACTCTTATCTCCAATTAAACACCAGAAAACCCGAAGTGGTACTGTGGCTTAAGTGGTAGAGCGCTCACCTTGAGCTGAAGAGCTCAAGGACAGTACCCAGGCCCAGAGTTCAAGCCCCACAACCAACCAAAAAAAAAAAAAAATCAAACCCCAGTAGAGATGGCTTCATTACTGGGGAGATGTATGAACCATCCCAAAGGATTACCTGCTGTCAGGACTGGAAACTCATGATTCATTATTGTGGGGTTTTGTTTGTGTGTTTTGTTTTTGTGCTGGTCCTGAGGCTTGAACTTAGAGCCTGGATGTTTGCCCTGAGCCTCCCTGTTTTCAAGGCTAGTTTGCTGCCACTTGAGCCACAGCGCCACTTCCCACTTTTTCTGAGTAGTTTATTAGAGATAAGAGTCTCATGGACTTTCTTGCCCAGCCTGGCTTTGAATTGTGATACTCAGATCTCAGCCTCTTGAGTCTCACGGACTTTCTTGCCCAGCCTGGCTTTGAATTGTGATACTCAGATCTCAGCCTCTTGAGTAGCGAGGAGTACAGGCGTGAGCTACCAGCGCCCAGCTCAGTCCTGTAGTTTTAAGAGTATTAGTGAGATATAATTTATAAACCACAAAGCTGACCCATTTTAAATGGGTCCTCACAGGACATTTGAGTAAAATGCCTGCGGGTGTGTGTCATACCCCAAACTTCCATCAGCCCAGGGAGGCCCCTTGGATGCTGGCTGACACTGTGTGCCCCTGCCCTCACTAGCCTGGTCCTTTCTTCCTCTATAAATGAGCCGAGGGATGTTACGTATCATAACAGATGCCTGTTTGCCTTCCCACAGCACTGGAGACAAGTGTGTCCTCAACTTCAAACCCTGTGGGCTGTTTGGGAAGGAACTGCACCGAGTGGAAGGGCACATTCAAGACAAAAAGTAGGTTTGCACGCTATACAGCGGTGCTCCTCCCCTCCAGCTGACTACTTTATGTTTTGGGTCTCAAATTTCTCCATTTTTTTTTTCCAGTATGGGATTTGGACCATGTGCAAGGAAATTCCTTCTTGCTCCTGACAATACAGTCCTTAAAATACAGCCCCATTGCTCTGTCTTCTTTTTCATATTAGGAATTGACCTGTTCAAGCAGCCTGCAAAATGCTGTTAGACAATATTATTGATCATCCCTGGTATGGGGTTCTAAAATGCAATTTTTATTTTTTGTTGGATGGGGCTTCATCTCAGGGCTGGGCACTGGTTCCTGAGCTCTTTTTGCTCAAGGCTAGCACTCTGCCACTTTGAGGCAGAGCCCCACTTCTGGTTTTCTGGCAGTTAGTTGTAGATAAGGAGTCTCATGGACTTTGCTGCCTGGGCTGGCTTTAATTCACGATTCTTAGCTCTCAGCCTCTTGAGTAGCTAGGGTTCTAAGCATAAGATACCAGCGCCTGGCTTAAAATGCAGTTTTGTTTTGTTTTGTTTTTGGACAGTCCTGGGGCTTGAATTCAGGGCCTGGGTACTGTCCCTGAGCTTCTTTTGTTCAAGGCTAGCACTTTACCACTTTAGCCACAGCACCATTTCTGGCTTTTTCTGTGTATGTGGTACTGAGGAATCGAACCCAGGGCTTCATGCATACTATGCAAGCACTCTACCACTAGACCACATTCCCAGCCCTAAAATGTAGATTTTTATCTCTGCGTCAACACCCAGTTGAGGAGCTGTGTGTTCAGATGTGTGGTTGTAATAGCTCCTAAGCAGGTCTTGAACACTCTTGTCTACAGTAAGAAGAAGCTGTTTATGATCTATGGCAAGTGGACAGAATGCTTGTGGGGCATAGATCCTGCTTCCTACGAGTCCTTCAAGAAGCAGGAGAGGAGAGGCGACCACCCAAGGAAGGCCAGGCTGGTGAGTGCTGCCCAGGCAGACTCGGTGGGGCAGAGCTCTGGTGGGAGTGGTCGGCCTTGTCTTCTCACCCATGCCCTGACTCCAGCCAAGAGAGCCGCGGGCGGCCCCTGTGTGTCCAAGGAAACCCCTAGTCTGACGGTGCAGTCGTGGGTCTGTGCTGCCCTCCTGTCCTGGTGCGTCCTCCTCTCGCTGGAGCTTGGGGACCTCATGGAAGCCCGTTTCTTGAAGAGTTAGAATGAGCTCTTCCTAATAAACTCCTCTTTTCCTGAGTTAAGCTAGACCTGTTTGAAAAGCCATGTGAATTTTGTGTCTTTTTGCTGTGGCGCTGGATAATATATTCAACAGCCAGGAAACGTGGGGGCTCCCCTCCCCGCTCAAAGCTTTGGAATACAGGTGGTTTTCAGATGATTTGTAAGCTTAAAATGAAAAGTGATCATTCAGAAGAGGTGTCACCCTCCCTAGATGATGGGGACACACCAAAGCCTGATAGCTCAGGTGTGCTGAAGACATCTTTTCTAATAGTTCTTTTTTTTAAAAAAAAAAAAGCAAGATTCCATTTGAACACTAGACAGCCTTAGAACGTTAAGCACACTGGGTGGCGCCTGTGCAGCTTTTGCTGGTGTTGCTGCTCATGTGGGTTGCGTGCCAGTGAGTTTGGGTAGAACGGCCGTGATGCCCTTGGCATCTGTGTCAGTGGGGCCCTGTGGAGGCCGCGCGTCTGTCCTGGGCACTGTGTTCTGCCTCCATCGCTGGTCCCATAGCCACCATCTTCTTACAAACCCCCAACCCTAAAGACAAATGCAGCAGGTGTAGCTGAGACAGATAGTTGGGCTCGGTCTAGAGCTCCCCCAGTCCCCCCAACCCCCCATGGTCATTGCTTCTGGGCCGAGGCCAGATGGCTCATCAGGCAGCTCTTGGTGTGGCAGGCCCAGCACCTGGCAGGCAGGCAGGCAGCTGCACCATGCGTGCTGCGGGAGGAGATCAGCACGGTCCTGTGGAGAGAGCCTGGGAGCAGCCCTGCTGTATTCCCACACACTGGAGGATGACCCCCTCACTGATAGAGCAAGCATGTTTCTCCTTAGTTTGTTTTAAAAAGGAGCGCTGGAGGTGTGTCCATCAAGGGCCTGAGCCTGAGGACGGGCCTGTGCTTGGACTCTGAGAATCCGTCCCGGCTGGTGTCTGTAGCTGTGTCCTGTTTCAGAACCCTGGCTCTGAGAAAGCAGACAGCAGCGTGGACGGTGACATGGCGGACGACATGCCCGTGGCTCAGGAGACTGTGCAGGTCATTCCCGGCAGCAAGCTACTCTGGAGGATCAACAGCCGGCCCCCACACTCTGCCCAGGTCTGTGTGGTCGCCCCCGGACCCCCACCCCAACCCTAGGCCTGTGTGTTTCCAGCCCAGACCCGCCTGCGCTCTCCACCCATGCCTTCGGCTCTCCTGCCTTCTTTCAGCAGTCTGTGCAGTGTGCAAGTCCTGACTCAGGCCTTGTGGCTGTGTCTGTGCCACCAGCACTGCAGCCCCACAGGCACGGTGGCCCCTGGCCGCCCTCCCGACCCGTCCAGACAGGCCTGCAGTCCTGGCCATAGGCAGCTTTTCCTCTTCCTTTTCTTCTTTCCTGACACTGGAACTTAAACTCAGGGGACTAGCGTTCACTCACTTGTTTACAGTGGTGCTCTACTACTGGAACCGTACCTCCAGCCCAGCTTTCTGCTGGTTAATTGGATTCAGAGTCTCATAGACTTTTCTGCCTGGGCTGGCTTTGAATCTTAACTTTCCAGACCTCAGCCTCCTGAATAGCCAGGATTAGAGGCATAAGCCACCAGCGTCCAGCTCCCTTCCCCTTCCCCTTCCCCTTCCTTCCTTCTTTTCTTTTCTCTCCCCTCCCTCCCTCCCTCCCTCCCTCCCTCCCTCCCTCCTTCCTTCCTTCCCTCTTGCCCACCCTTCATGATCCTCTTGCCTCAGTCTCCTGAGTAGCTGAAACTATAGGTCCCTGCTGCTGCCCACTGCTGACTTACCAATTCCAATGCTTAAATGGATTGTGGTGCTTCTTTTTGAACATTGAACACTGAACTTTTTTTAAACATTCTTGGATTTTAGTTCGCTTTTTGGTGGTACTGAAGTTGGAACTCAGGGCTTTACTCTTGCTAGGCAGGCACTCTACCACTTATGCCATGCTTCCAGCACTTTAAGTTATTTTTCTGTTTATATGCTTTTAGTAGTTTTTCAGATAAGACCTTACTTTTGGCCAAGACCTGGCCTCAGAGCTTGATCCTATTACGTGTGATCCTCGCATACCTGGGATTACTCTGTGTATCGTCATACCAGCTTGTTCTTTGAGACCGTCTTCCTTTTTGCCTGGGTTGGCCTTTGGCCTAGACTCTCCTATCTCTGTTGCCTGTGTAGTTGGGATTACAGGTGTCCATCATTGCACCAGGCTATCCATTTTTATTACACACACAATAAATTACATTACATATGTTATATTACTTATATGTCAACATATGTAATATGTGACAAGCACAACAATGTATTATGGAACATACTGTATCACTTCAATGTCCATTATATATTATTTCTTGCATATAACATATGTACAACTTACAGATCTTCATTGTACTCTTATATGTATCCACACAGCAGAGTGGTGTAAAACAGCAGAGTGGCACCTGAGTATGGCACTGCATAAGCTACTGCTGTCATTTAGTGCTGACTACCAGCACTGCTTTATTCTTTTTTTTGGGGGGGGGTCAGTTGTGGGGCCTGAACTCTGGGCCTGGGCGCTGTCCCTGAGCTCTTCAGCTCAAGGCTAGCGCTCTACCACTTGAGCCACAGCGCCACTTCCGGCTTTTTCTGCTTATGTGGTGCTGAGGAATGGAACCCAGGGCCTCATGCATGCAAGGCAAGCACTCTACCATTGAGCCACCTTCCCAGCCTACTGCTTTATTCTTGAGAGAAACTAAACTTAATATTTTTAAGAATGACAGCTGAGGGCTGGGAAGGTGGCTCAGTGGTAGAGTGCTTGCCTTGCATGCATGAGGCCCTGGGTTCCATTCCTCAGCACCACATAAGCAGAAAAAGCCGGAAGTGGTGCTGTGGCTCAAGTGGTAGAGCGCTAGCCTTGAGCTGAAGAGCTGAGGGACAGCGCCCAGGCCCAGAGTTCAGGCTCCATGACCGACAAAAAAAGAAAAAAAAACGAATGACAGCTGCTAGGCATCAGTGGCTCACGCCTATAATCCCAGCTACTCAGGTGGCTGAGATCTGAAGATTGCAGTTCGAAGCCAGCCTGGGCAGAAAAGTTTGTGAGACTCTTATCTCCAATTAATCACAAAAAGCTAGAGGTAGAGCTGTGGCTCAGGTGGTAGAGTGCTAGCCTTAAGCACAAAAGCTCAGGGACAGTGCCCAGGCCCAGAGTTCAAGCTCTAGGACCATCAAAAACAATAACAATAACAAAAACAACAAAAACCTGACAGCCATTTCTCTATCCTATGGCTTGGTGGCATGGCTCCCTTGAGCCTGATGGCCACTGGGTGGACCTGGGGCACTGGGAACAGACTTGAGACCAGCAGGCGAGGCCAAGTCCCAACGGTAATCAAGGCCCCAAGGACCCCAAGCACTGGGGAAGTGTGGCCCAGGCAGGGACGGCAGCCCCTGGGTGGGCCCTACAGGGGAGCAGGCGTGTGGGCGTGAGTGTGGGTGGCCAGGGGCAGTTGATGTGTGAGGACCCAGGCTCAGGGCAGGTAGTGGCCAGACTCTGAGGACCTCAGCTCTTGCTTTGAGTGACTAGGGCATGTCCAGAAAATCTAGAGCAGGTTTCACTTCCTGTGGCCCTTGGGCCGGGTGCTGCTGACACAGTGCGGCAGGCAGTCAGGTAGGAGCAGAGTCGGCCCTGAAAGATGCCGTATGGGGGCGGTGCATGTGTGCAGCGGACCTATGGTGTGCTGCACTCGAGGTTTGTCCCTGGGGACCAGGAGAGAGACGGCAGCGGACAGGTGTGGGGCTTCAGAGAAGGGCCGGGCTGGAAAGCAAGACCTGCCCTGGCTGGGTAGAGAGCGCATTGCATGCCGAGCTGGGCAAGCCAGGCGGAGCCCCAGCGGCTGGGCCAGGTGGGTACTGCAGGGCATGAGCCTTTCCAGAAGCTGCTGGCCTCTGGCTGCTGGGGGCAGTGCACATGGCACTCCTGTGACCAGCCATGCCTGTGCTGTGTTCACAGATGTACAACTTCACCAGCTTCACTGTAAGCCTCAATGAGCTGGAGGCGGGTATGGAAAAGACCCTGCCACCCACAGACTGCCGCCTGCGCCCCGACATCCGTGGCATGGAGAATGGCAACATGGGTAGGCGCTGGGGCAGGGCTCCAGAGGGACTGGGCGGGGTGGGTGCCCCTGCGGGTACAGCCCCGACTCAGGGCTGCCAGAGCCTCCGCGGTGAGCTTCCGGCTCCAGCCTGGCAGGCCAGCCTCCTGCCACTTATGTTGAAGCTACCAGCAGATAGGCAGAACATGCACACCCTTCATTTTAAATCAACTTAAATAGGTGTAACTCAGGGGCAGTGTACGTGTTCAGTCCCTAGCACTGCAACCAAAAAAGCTTACATCTGAAGCTGCAAGCTCCCCGTCCGCGCAGCCACGTGGCAGAGCCACGCTCTCTGGATGTCTTTCGAGCCTGGCCCAGGCAGCAGCCGTGGTTGTCATCTGTCGCACATGTGTCTGCTCAGGTTTAACTGTGACATTTATCCTGCCTTTGGGGTTCCATCAGCGTGGCGGTGGACCCGAGTGGCCGCACGGCTGGCCCTCACCTTCCGGCCCGGCTGGGAGGGGAGCAGGAGCTCAGGGCAGGAACTGCATGTCCCATTCCTTCCTGGGACTGGCAAGTTCTGTTCTGTGCCCGGAACGCACAGGGTTCACCCCGGTGGGTCGAGGCTCAGTGGACCCTCAGCTGATCAGAGCGGATCCAGACTTTCACACTTGTCCTGACCATGTCTGCTGGGCACTGGGTGGCGTCGGGTTCAGCATGGGTGTCCACGTGATGGCTTCGCTTTGCTTCTCCTGGGGTGGCAGAGGTGCTTAGCCCCAGTGCTTGGATCCCACGTGGCCTCCTGGGACCAGAATTTACTGCCCATGGCTTTACAGCCAAAGTGGGACCTGTCGTCTAGCAGGGGTGGGGGGCTGGCATCTCTAGCCTGACTGGAAGCTTTGAGACAGCCAACCCTGACTCAGGTCTGTTTGCTTGGACCTAGATCTGGCCAGCCAGGAGAAGGAGCGGCTGGAGGAGAAGCAGAGAGAGGCCCGCAGGGAGCGTGCCAAAGAGGAGACTGAGTGGAGGACAAGGTGACGTGGGGCGCTGGGGGGCTGCACACACACAGCTGGGGACAGGGAGTGTCCTCCTCTGCACCAACTAAGCCCACATGAACTGCCGTGAGCTCTAGTCCTGCTTCTGACTTAGATGTGGTGCTTTGCTCTTTAGTAGTGGAAATCTGGAAAGAATACCTTTAATAAGGACTTGAGCAGTGCTGAGGTATCCACGTAAATCATTTTATTCTGTTGCAGAAATATTGAGTTTGACAGTTTGAGCCCATCAAGCTGTTATTCATGTGACACAGGACTGTACGGTCCTGAGCTCCGAGGTTCAAACAGTCGTCTGCTCTGCCTCCAGGGTAGCTGAAGCCACAGGCCTGTGTGTGTCTCTGTGCCTAGCTAGGAGTCAGCCTTTTTTTTTTTTTTTTTGGCCAGACCTAGGGCTTGAACCCAGGGCCTGGGCACCATCCCTGAGCTTCTTTTGCTCAAGGCTCACACTCTACCACTTGAGCCACAGCGCCACCTCCAGCCTTTCCTATGTATGTGGTACTAGGGAACAGCACCTGGGGCTTCATGCATGCTAGGCGAGCACTCTGCCGCTGAGCCCCTGCCCAGCCCCAGGACTCATTCTTTCTTTATTTTTGGAGCATATAGAAAGCAATTCTTTTTTCTCTTTTTGCTGTGTTCGGGATGGACCCAGGACCTTGAGCATGACGGGCAAATGCCCCACCTCTGTGCTGCACCTAAAATCCATGAGAGCCTCGGCGCCCATACACCCCATTTAGCACTGTGCGCCCAGTGCTTTGGCATTTTGAATTTACCTTCATCCCAGGGGATGGTGGTTAGAAAGCTCCATGATCAGCACATACATGCATGTGCATGTGCACACACAGACACATGTAGGACTTTTGTGAACATAATGCTTTGTCCTTCTACTTTGTTGTTTTTGTTGGTCATGGGGCTTGAACTCTGGGCTTGGGTGCTGCGCTTCAGCTCAAGGTGAGCGCTCTACCACTTGAGCCACAGCGCCACTTCCAGTTTTCTCATGGTTAATTGGAAATAAGAGTCTTACGGACTTTGCTGCCCGGGCTGGCTTTGAACCTCGATCCTCAGATCTCAGCCTCCTGAGTAGCTAGGATGACAGGCGTGAGCCACTGCACCCAGCTCCCTGAGCTCTTTTGCTCAAGGCTAGCACTGTATCACTAAGCACACAGCACCACTTCCATAACTTTTACTTTGTGAGCTCCCCCAAGGGCTCCTTGCAGTGAACTGCTGGTGTCTGAGTTGCTTCTGCATGGTGGGCCGTGTTGTGCACTGCAGGGGTCTGGCTGTGCATGCCATGGGCAGAGGAGGCTTTTTACTAAACCAGTGCCCGAACTGGAAGCTGGAGGCGAAGCACCTTGCCACTCCCTGGAGTGGCCCAGTGGAGTTTGGTGCTGGGTTTGAGCCTGCAGTTTCTTGGGAATACTGCCGCCCTGGTGAGCATCTGGTGAACTGAAGCTCTGCCCGGGCTGCTGCAGGAGTGCGTGCTGTGTCTCCTCACCCCTCCCTTGTGTTCTGCAGATGGTTTTACCCAGGCGACAACCCCTACACTGGGACTCGTGACTGGCTATATGCAGGGGATTACTTTGAGCGGAATTTCTCAGACTGCCCTGACATCTACTGAGGGCTTAGGGCCTGCCGGGGGCCAGGCTGGATCCCGGAGCGGCCGCTCCTTCGCCACGGCGGAGAACAGCTTCTTCCACCAAGGTCGTGGAGGTCAGGGCCTTGTCCCTCCTCAGGGCTTCGTTCCGGTGACCTCTGCCTGCCCGCCCCTCACTGTGTCACAGTCCCCCTGAGGCTCCACCAGGGCCCTGGCGTCCGCCGAGGTCCACGCACGGACAGGTGTGTGGGGCTGAGCTAGCCGCACACTGGCCACAAGATGCGTGACTCAAGGAAGAAGCAGGAGGCCCCTGCACTCGCAGTTTCTAGAAGCTGGGTTGACAATGGTTGACTGAAAATGGAGTGGATCTGGAAAGATCCGGGGGCCGGGGCCGCTGCAGGTACAGCAGCGGGAGGCAGCGTCCGGGCCCCCAGGACAGGAAGCAAAAAGTGGTCAGAGTCTGTATTTTTTCCTATCCTGAGCAATGTAAAGATGGCTTCTAAAGTATTTAAGTTAAAATGACTGGAATGGTGTTTTGCTGGCGGGCAGGAAGCGCACTTCTCGTGTGTACTGTAAACGAGTGTGCCACACGCCCAGCGTGGCACACACTGCAGCGCGGATGAGACACTCCCGGGGCGGCTCCAGCTCTGGAGGCCGGCTCTGCGAGCAGCGCCGCGTGCCCAAGGCTTCGCTGCCACCACAGCCCACGCCACGCCCACGCCCGCCCCCGTGTCGTCTCTTCACTCACCCTGCCTGTGCCCCGCACTCCTGTGTGTTGTTGCCCCGCATGTGTGTTCCTTGCAGGCAAGTCGAAGCAGCTGCGTGCTGCGGGAGGTCAGAGGTCAGGGCAGGCTCTACTTACCCGGTGTCATTAAAGTCACTAACCACAGCAGGTGTGTCCATCTCGGCGCCCTCTGTCCACAGTGGACCTGACGAAGAAATGTTAGCACCAAAGACCACAGGAGTGCTCTGCCTCAGAGACAGTCTGCACGTGTACGCGTCCAGGTGTGCACGCACACCGTTGTTGAGCACAGGTGACTAAATCAGGCGCCCTCAGAAGGTGTCCGCACTGCCCAGGCCTCCGTCACCTCTGTGAGTAAAACTCTTCCGAAAGCCAACGCTGCTTTCATCTTGTAGCTCGGGAAGCCAGAAAGCAGCTCAGCGTGGCCGGGCTGGGGCCAGGCTTGGCACGCGGCCACTCGGTACCTCTTCACATGGCTCCAAGGCTCCTTACGTGGGGGCTGCCTCCAGAAAAATTTCCAAGTGTAGAGCAGGGCCCCTTTGTGTCCCGGGCGGCGGCTGTGTCCCTCCGGGAGAACTGGCCTGTTGGAGAGGACTGGCAGGAGGGTCCTTCTGAACACGCTCCTCTGAGGAGCCAGGGTGCTGTGCATGCATGTCCTTGCCCTCGGTGGTGAGCCTGGCACAGTTGCTCCCACCGGCACTCTTGGCTACTACTGTACCCACGGCCTCTAGAGACCCTTGGCCAGGGGTCAGATAAGCTGTCCGGTGCAGGACAGATGGGTACCAAGCCAGCAGGGCCTGCGTGCCCGGGGAGAGCAGACGCCAGTGCTGCCGGCCGCTTGCCAGGGAGGCGCTGGCCTCCACTGCAGGGCGCACACCGCCTTGCTGCCCCATGCACCAGGCTGGGAGACCCAGGCAAGAGGAAAGCCTGGGAGCGAGTGCATGTCCCACGCTCCCTCCCCCGCAGGAGCAGGCAGGCAGCCCGCAGCCCCCCTCTGTGCCAGCACCTGGGCTCTGTCCTGCAGCTTTTTTGGTCAAGGCTAGCACTCTACCACTTGAACACAAATCCACTTCCAGTTTTTTGCTGGTTAATAAGAGATGAGAGCCTCACAGACTTTCTTACCAGGCTGGCCTCAAACTGTGATCCTGAACTCAGCTTCTTGAGTTCTTAGGATTACAGGCGTGAGCCACCAGTGCCCACCAAGTGTTACAAGCAGCCCCTTGAGGGAAGCTTCCACCTAGTCTCCAGCAGAAAGTTAAGTGTGCAGTTTTTCATGTGCGTGCCCTCTCCATGGGTAGCGAGGGGAGACACGATCAAGAACTCGGTACACTTGAAAACGTCACAGGCACCGATGGAGCGTGTGCTGCTGATGCCAATCATAGGCGTGGGGGTGGAGATTGAGGTTGCAGGACCTAGAGGTCAGCACAAAGCAAGCACCTTCAGCCTTGCCCCGGCCTTCTCCTGCCCCCGCTGGCCGGCTGTGTCTGCAGTGCAGCCTGGGGATCAGGAGCCTGCCTGTCCCATAAGAGCAGCTGGAACCCGACGCACTGACACATGTCTGAGGACGTGAGCCTTGCCACCTCGGGCCTCGGCGTGGTTTGTACAAAGTAAACACTGCATTTCAGGTCCCTTGGTGTCCATTTGGGGAGCACTGTTCTCAGAATCCCATGCTCAGAACAGCAACTCTTGGTGTGAAGAGGGCCACTGTGGGTGTGCGTCCACCCTGTCCTCATCACTGGGCCTGTGCGGCTGGCCCTTCACCGACACCAGGTAGCATCAGAGTGCCAGGCCAGGAAATTGCCAGCAAAGTGGGGTGACCTTGTAGCCCAATACCCATCTGTGCGGCAGGACCAAATATTTTGTGATGATTTGGGGGAGAGCTGTACACGGCTGTCTGTGAGTCTGCATCTACATCCCTGAATAGAGCTTCTTTTATGAAGTACTTGTACAGAGGGTTTCAAATCCATGGGGAGATACAGCGCCTGGCTTACAAAGATATTTATTTTACATCAAAAGTGTTTTCACTGTCTCTGGGGCCTTGGCCTTTGTGGAAAGGGCCACAGGTTAACCACAGGTTAACCCGACGTTTGTGCTGTGTATTCTTTTGGCTTGGCCTAGCAAATATGTTGTCCTCAGAACCGTTTGTCATGGGGGGGGTGACACTGCTAAGCACCCATTGGGTGGCATGCTGAGGGGTGCAGGGCCCAGGCCCCCCAGGTGGCATGCTGGGTGGTAGCAGCTCTGCTCAACTGTTCCTTGTCTTGGGGATCACAGGCAGTTGCTGGACGCAACCGAAGGCCAAGGTGGGGGGTTGTTATAAATATGCTCTCCACAAACTATTGGAGTCACAATAGACAAAAATAAAGAGCTGCCTTAGCAAGGCCAAGTTCACTTCTGTGGAGCGGAGCTCCAGCAGCCAGAAATCCAGCAGGCCAGCGCACGGCCGGGAGCTCCCTATTCATCCCTAACTCGGAGACCCCGCCCTGCTTCTCGCATTGGCTGAGCTCAGGTTCACAGCCTGCTCGCAACTGGCTAAAGAGGGGAGGATGTATTTTTGAAATAAGATTCACAGCACAGTACAGCAATCTCCATACCTGGCTTGTCTTCTTAATTCCATCTTTTTTTTTTTTTTTTTGTCGGTCGTGGGGCTTGAACTCTGGGCCTAGGCGCTGTCCCTCAGCTCTTCAGCTCAAGGCGAGCGCTCTACCACTTGAGCCACAGCGCCACTTCCAGTTTTCTGGTGGTTTATTGGAAATAGGAGTCTCACGGTCTCTCCTGCCCGGGCTGGCTTTGAACCGAGATCCTCAGATCTCACTGGCTTTGAACCTCGATCCTCAGATCTCAGCCTCCTGAGTAGCTAGGATTACAGGTGTGAGCCACCAGCGCCCGGCTTTAATTCCATCTTACATTTCAAAAATCCTTATCCCCACGCAGTGCCTCCAGGGCTCTCAGGCCTTGCGGGGGCTTGGAAGCATTCCACCATGGCTTTTCTTAGATTGGCTGGCGGGCCCAGCAGCCGGACTGCTGTGCCAGTTTGCCAAGGAGAGGCAGAGCCAGCGCCACTGTGGGCCAAGACGCCGGGCTGCCGCTCCTCCATGCCATACACTCTTGGATGGCAGGCTTGTGCCGCACTGAGCTGATGGAGCCATCGTTGCTGGCATGCCCACTAACCCCGGCCTCCCGGCCCCCCGGCCCAGGACGAAGCACAGGTGCCAGAAGGTGGGGGGGGGGGGTCCTGGGGCTCACAGCTGCTCAGAGAAGGAGGGCTCTGTACCTCTGCCTGGTTTCTGAGCAGTAAGGGCCCAATTTGTCCACTATGTTGATTTTTTTAGTTGTTTCAAATTTGGGACAATTACAAAAAAGAGTCAGTACAGATGCTTGCATGTGGGCTTTTGTGTGGACAGGTTTTCTTTTTTTGTTGTTTTTTTCTTTTTGGGGGGGGGTCGTGGGGCTTGAACTCCTGGGCCTGGGCGCTATCCCTGAGCTCTTCAGCCCAAGGTGAGGGCTCTACCACCTGAGCCACAGCTCAACTTCTGGTTTTCTGGTATTTTATTGGAGGTAAGAGTCTCATGGGGTGGGGGGCGGGGAAGGTGGCTCAGTGGTAGAGTGCTTGCCTTGCATCATGAGGCCCTGGGTTCGATTCCTCAGCACCACATAAGCAGGAAAAGCTGGAAGTGGCGCTGTGGCTCAAGTGGTAGAAGACACTGGCCAAGTCCCACAGAGCAATTGTGAGTGCCCCTTGTGTCTCCGTGTCCTCGTATTGTGCATGTGTGCTTCCATGTTTGAGTCGCAGTTCCCTAATGCCTGCTGTAATGAACACTTTCCACAGGCTTGTTTGCCATCTGCATCTCTTCTTTGATGAGGTGGCAGTGTTTTTGTTTGTTTTTTAAATGAAGTTAAACATATATCTATCATATGACCAAGCTACTATCTCCTACATATTTACCCAAGAGAAATGAAAACAGGTATCCATGCTGGGCATGGTGGTACATGCCTGTAATCCCAGCCCTCAGAAAGCTGAAACATGAGAATCATGGATTTAAGGCTGCCCTGGGCTACACAGTAAGACCTCGTCTCAAACAAAATAAACCAAAAATTCATTATACTCCTGGCACACAGTCAAGCTTATGTAGTACCTAAAATGAATTGACAACTAGAGAAGCAGACACACAGATGTCCAAAGCAGCCTTATTCATAATAACCAGAGTATCGGGATGTCTCAGATGGACATAAAATATGAGGCACAACCAGACAGAGCAATTATTATTGTGCTACAAAGGAATGAGATTCCAAGAATCTCACGAAGAGATGTGGAGGGCCCTTCCTTAAAAGCTTATATATATATATATATGAAATAACTCTGGGGCTCACACCTGCAGTCCTAGCTACTCAGGAGGCTGAGATCTGAGGATTGCAGTTCAAAGCCAGCCCAGGAAGAAAAGTCCATGAGACTCTGATCTCCATAGCCACTAAAAAGCCATTAATGGAGCGGTAGCTCAAGTGGTAAAGCACTAGCCTTGAGCAAAAAAAACCTCAGGAACAGCTCCTAGACCCTGAGTTCAAGCCCATGGTGTCACAAAAAGCATATTAAATGAGAGAAGGCAACCTAAAAAGTCTGTGTGCTGGATCCTGGTAGCTCATGCCTGTAATTAAGCCTAGCTACTTAGGAGGCTGAGATCTGAGGATCATGGTTCAAAGCCAGCCTGGGCAGTAAAGTCTCTGAGACTCTTTTTTTTTGGGGGGGGGTCCAGTCGTGGGGCCTGAACTCTGGGCCTGGGCGCTGTCCCTCAGCTCTTCAGCTCAAGGCTAGCACTCTTCCACTGGAGCCACAGCGCCACTTCGGCTTTTTTTCTTTTTGCTTATGTGATGCTGAGGAATCGAACCCAGGGCCTCATGCATGCAAGGCAAGCACTCTACCACTGAGCCACCTTCCCAGCCCCAGTCCCTGAGATTCTTATCTCCAATAAACCACCAGAAAACTGGAAGTGGTGCTGTGGCTCAAGTGGTAGTGCGCTAGCCTTGAGCTCAGGGACAGTGCCCAGGCCCAGACTTCAAGCCCCACCACACACACATACACACACAAAGGATGCATGTGATGATCCCTACGACAGGACATTCTGCAAGAGGCCAAGACCACAGACGTGGGAAGGATCAGAAAGGGGGGGACAGAGTACCTGGCACTTCCAGGACAGCACAGTAATGATGGACATTTGTCACCAATATGTCAACCTGGGCAGGGTGCTGTGGGACACAAGCTCAGCACTCAGGAAGCAAAGGTAAGATGATAAAGCTACACAGAGGGTTGTTTTGTTTTGTTTGCCAGTCCTGAGCTTTGAACTCAAGGCCTGGGCCTGGTCCCTGAGCTTTGGTGGCTCAAGGCTAGCGCTCTACCACTTGAACCACAGTGCCACTATGGCTTTTTCCATGTATGTGGTGCTGAGGAATCGAACCCAGGGCCTCATGCATGCTAGGCAAACATGCTACCACCAAGCTACCTTCCCAGCCCCCCACAGAGGTTTAAAGACAAAATAACGGCCCCTGCCACCTCCCCTGTGGTTGGACTGTGAAGTCTCCCAAACTCAGATACTGGAACTCAGTGACCAACAAGGAGGAGGGGTGGGTGGCCTCCACTGCGCATGCAAAGAGGCATCCTGCCACATTCCCCAGCGTGCCACGGGAGGCCACGGGAAACACAGAAGAGAGCCGGCCAGCAGAACCGAGCAGTGTGTGTGCGGGTGAGCGTTACAGGAGCAGTAGGAAGGCATTGCCAGGCGACAGCTCCGCTGAATCCTTGAGACAATTCGTTACTGTAACCAATGTGCCTCAGCTGGAAGAGGAGGCTGTGGAGGCTGGGAGGGGGCATGGCAGAGCCCTGGGAACTCACTGTACTTTGCTTCGTTCTGCTGTGAACCTCGCTCAGATTGCTCAAAAAAAAAAAAAACCTAATAAAAAAGGGAAAACTGCATAGCTGCCGCTCTCCACCGCGTCTGTGCCAGCCTCGCCGCACGCGGTGCTGGATTTCTTTGCAAGTGTTCTAGAAGGTGAGCTGAGTTCGTGTCTCCCTGGTGGGGGTCCTGTGAGTGTCTTTTCTGCAGCTCCTGGTGACTGCCTACTACCAACCACACCCAGGCCTTCCGCCCAGGGGCCTCCCAGGCTTTCCTGTGAGCCGCTGGGCTTGCTTGGTTAGCAGTTAAGGACTTTTGTTGTTGTTCTCGTTGTTGTGTTTTTGTGGTGCTAGGGTTGAAGCTTGGACTTCTTGGGCTGGGAAGGTGGTTCAGTGGTAGAGCGCTTGCCTCCCTTGCATGAGGCCCTGGGTTCGATTCCTCAGCACCACATAAGCAGAAAAAGCCGGAAGTGGTGCTGTGGCTCAAGTGGTAGAGCGCTAGCCTTGAGCTGAAGAGCTGAGGGACAGAGACCAGACCCAGAGTTCAGGCCCCACGACCGAAAAAAAAATTAAAAAAAGACTTCTCAGCTGGCTATCAGCGGCTCAATGGCTGGCGCCCAGGAGACAGACCTGAGGGGTCTCCGTCTGAAGTCAGCCCAAGCAGAAACGCCCACGAGGCAGCCTAGCAAAAAGCTGGGCTGGCAGCCTGGCCGAGCCGGCGCAGCACCGGCCCGCTGAGCCACAGATTCCAGACCCCGCACCGACACACCCGGCGGAGGATGGCGACGAGACAGGCGGGCGCCGCGCAGGAGGCAGGTGCGCCCGAGGGCGCCCTCCGCGCCCGGGCGC